TATGTGTTTAGTTAGTTGCAAAAGTAAACACTACAGTCATGTGACAGAAATACCAAATATTAGTTGTACCATGGTACACAAACCAAAGAGTTATGTAATGTCGGCCAGATTAACATACCCCATAATTTTATAGTTTCACATTTTTTAATATATTAGATTTTCAACTTATGTATGTTCATTACAATTTACCTCATCATGACTAGAGAATTGAAGCATGTGTTCCATCTCAACTAAAAACCTAAGTTGATAGTTGGATTGCACATCAATAGTTATATATGCTCAACATAGAGAATTACAATGCACTCATTATCCAATAATTCCATCACTAATATATTTATTATTTTGTTTCATAGAATAAAACTAATTCAATTGAGTTTCTAATAAACACTCTTTTAAGTAAATTTAATATCATTCAAAAAAAATGTAAATTTAATATTATTCTTTTTTTCACGATTAAAATTCACACCCAACCAACAACCCACCTCGGCTTACCTTAAACACAGGGTGCAAGTGGTGGGATGGCAATGAGTGCTAATGATGCTCAGGATGAACCAAACTAAATGAGCATTGGCACACAAAATAAAAAATAAAATAAAATAAGGAAAAAGTGCGAAAGTGAGAAAGCTTTTACTCTTTTTTTTTTTTTAATAGGTTTTTCTGTATGTTGAGAGTCCAAAGTAGAAAGCAGCGTTGAATATAATGTTGTCCGTGTGTTGTGCCAATGATTTAAGACACGTAGTTTGATTGGTCACCACTTCCCAGTTTTCCCACCAAGTAACCATTTTCATATTGATTAGTGCTTCTTCATCCGTGTACTACTGTATAGTAGTCTGTAGTATTCTTAAGAAAATTCTATGATTATTGGAAATTGGATTATATCATTAAGCCAATAGCCATGCATGCTAGACTGATTTTCTTCTTTGGTGTATGTCCCACAAGGCCAAAACATATAACATCATCTAAACATATATACATGTGCTGTTGACTTATATATATATGGATCGGGCCCGGGGTATATACTATATATATACTATACGGATATTTTCTTGTCACCATTGATCTATATGTATCACGTACATCAATCGTTATATCCTACACCACGGCGCACATCTCACTGTGCGCCGCACGCCTCCCAAAACGACGTCGTTTTGGGGTAGTGTTGGGAGGCGCGGTAGTAGTGCTGTCAATACGGGCTGGCGGGGCGGGGCGGGTCAAAGCCCGGCGGGCCGCGGGCCTAAACGGGACGGGCTAAAAAAACCCGCTCCTAAACGGTCCTGGGTTTGATAGGCCCGGACCGTCCCGCTAGTGGCCCGCGGGCTAGGCGGGCCCCCGCCAAAACCCTTTTTTTAAAAAAAAAAAATTGTTTATCAAACAACTAACTAATTAAAATAAATTGATAATAAGTCATAACTCACATAAAACATAATAATCAAACATTAAATATTACATTAAGTTCAAAGTTCATAGTTTATCAAACATCAAACTAGTCACAACTACAAAGTCCAAAAATATTACACATAAAAATAATTTTAATGAGCATATTTTATATAAAAATAATTTATTTAAAATAAAATAAAATAATGGCGGGTAGCCCGCGGGCCCGGCGGGGCAGGCCTGGCGGGCCGCGGGCCTAAACGGGGCGGGCCAAAAAAGCCCGCTCCTAAACGGGCCTCTATTTTCAAAACCCGCCCCCTACCTAAATAGGGGCGGGGCGGGCCGGCCCGGCGGGCTAAGCCCGTTTTGACAGCTCTACGCGGTAGGAAGTTGCTGAGATTATGTGTATTTGTTCACAACGTTATGTGTATTTGTTCACAACGTTATGTGTATTGGTTCATACAGTTATGTGTATTTTTTATACAATTATGTACATTCTTTTTATACAATTATGTACATCAGAATCAGAAAATTTGTGTGTATTATGTTAAGAGTTGATGTGTATTATGTTAAAAGTTTATGTTTATTATGTATTATGTTAGATTATGTGTATTATCTTTTAAAAAGAGTATGTATATTTTGTTATATAATTATGTACATTCATGTATAACATTATGTGTATTCTAGTATAACATTATGTACATTCTTGAACAGCGGGGTTTTTTTAAAAGAAAAAACTACTGCCATTCACTGGGGCGGGAAATTTAAAAAAAAAAAAATTAAAACGACGTCGTTTTACATCTGGGCGCATAGTGCAACGCGCGCCGTGGTGTAGGATATAAATTGCCGTCGAAGTGTGTAGATCGAGTTAGGTTAACTCGGGCATGTGGGTGGTAATTCGTTGGAATGTGAGATTAATCAATACTATATATAAAAACAAAATCTTGAAATTTTAACTTCCCGCCCAATTCCTAAAAGATCTCTCTTCCTAATAAAATATATTGATTTCTACTTTCCCATTCGTACAATAATTCTGCGTTAAAATTCAATTCTAATATTATAAAATAGTGTAATACAATCTATAGTATATACAAAAACAAAATCCTAAAATTTTAAATTCATGCCCAATTCCTAAAACATCTCTCTTCCTAATAAAATATATTGATTTCTACTTTCACATTCGTACAATAATTCTGCGTTAAAATTTTATTCTAATATTATAAAATAGTGTAACTATACTATATATAAAAACAAAATCCTGAAATTTTAACTTTCCGCCCAATTCCTAAAACTCTCTCTTCCTATAAAATATATTGATTTCTACTTTCCCATTCGTACAATAATTCTGCAATAAAATTCGATTCTAATAGTATAAAATAGTGTAATACAATCTATAGTATATATAAAAACAAAATCCTGGAGTGAAAATGCACGTGCAAGTTTTTTTTTTTTGGTTGTCAACAATGACATATGTGAATGGTGAGTTTCCTCCTTTGGACACCACCATAAAAGATGTATCAACACCATCCCTTTCAAGCTCATCAAGTATTCTTTCGTCATGCAAGTCATCAGCAACCTTAGATATGATCCTTGGATTAAGACCAAGACGAATTTTATCATCCGGGTTTTATCAAAGCATTGCCAGTGTTACCACCTCCTTGAACCTCAAAGCTGGTGCTCCGAATTTTATCATCCGGGTTGGGGAATGAAGCTACAGCAGCCAGGAAGTCAACACCGGCCATTCCAACACCTCAGACAATGCGATTTTTGGGGAGCGGCAGATTCCACATTTTCAGCTTGAAACTTCAATGAATTTCAGGTAGAATAACAGAGTTTTTGAGGTTGTACACCAAGTAGTTGTGGTCAGAGAGAGAGAGAGAGAGAGAGAGAGAGAGAGATGGGAAGGATATTTGTGGTCAATATGGAAGGGAGGACTTACATGTGCAAATTCTACATCACGCCATCTACAACTACAACTGCTATTTACCATAGGAGGGTTCGCCGACCTGCTGCCCTCTCTGCTTCACCGGAACCAAAAACCACCGGTGAAGGCCCCAACCTCGCCGGATCTGTTGCTGCACCGCCAGATCTGCCTTATTGGTCCGTCGCCGAAAGGAGTTACTGCCTCGTATGCTCGCCGCCGTACCCACAACTCGCCGGAGAAGAACCTCGCTGCTACTCACTATTGACGGTTACTACTTAGCCGCCAAGTCTCGCCATCTCGCCTCACAGGAGTCACAGCAGCGCTGGTCTAAACAAGATTAGAAGAATAAGACATAAAAAGACAGAAAAGCCCTTCTAATTCACGGTCAACAAACGACTTCATTGACGGAGGATCAAAACTGTCCAACGGCCAATAACAGTGTCTACTAAGTGGCAATTTTTATTATGGAGGATGAAAAGTGTCAATGCCTCAATAAGTCTAGGATAAAAAATGGCATTAACTCCGGAATACAATACAAGAATATTTAATTATGGTTATATTATTATTGTGCCTCACGACCATTATATACTAACAGTACTTGAAAAGAAACTAATAATAATAATAATAATAATAATAATAATAATAATAATAATAATATAAGTGGTAATAATAATATCTAAAAGTAATTAAGTGTTAATAATAATAGTAAGAATATTAACGTAAGAGTTGTAACATAGAATAAATTGTAATAATTAATAACTATAGTCTAGAATTAAATTTGGAATTGTCAGAAAAGATAAACGACCTCTGGTGAAATCAACTGGCTCTATTACATTGTAGTATCTGTTCATATACTTTCTCAACCTACTGAAACACAAAGAACCAATAACGCCTCCACTAAGGCTTGAACTCATAATCTTCCAAATGGAAGTCCAACCCGGATACCATTAAACCACATAGTCCTAGTCTTAAATAATTATATATAGATTCAAATATTCTTAATATATTACAACAATTCCATTCCGTGCATCGCACGGGTGAAAATACTAGTTAGTTATTAAAACAGATTGAAGTTAGCAACTTATTAGAATTGCATGCATATATTATATCTTGCAACTCCTGTTCATCTATATAAATTGCATGATTGCAAGGGAATGTGGAGGTTTTTTTCAAGAGTTAATGCATATTGTACTGATGGCGGTCAAAGTAAACCACGTACTCTCCACTTTTGTGTTGTGGGGTATTATAATTGCAGGAGGACAAGTTGCCAGTCTGCCACCATTGTTAATTGGTGCTGCGCCACTATCAAACTGCCCATTCAATTTATAGTTTGAAATCAAAGTTTCAGTGGGGGTCATCATATGATGGACCACTCAATAACATCATTTATCATACAAAAACCACAACAACTAGTTAACACAGCATTATGGCATGCAAAACATTTTTACAATTGATTTTAATTATCATTTTCTACTGCCACTAATATAATATAGACCCTGTTTGGTAACATAGTTAGCTTATCAATTAATTTTAGTTTAATTGATCATTATTAGCTGTTTAATTTTGTTAAACAATTTTGATTAATTAGTTTTTCGTAACAACTTATTGCTCTAAAATACTAAAATTTTAAAAGCCGCTTAAAGTAGCATTTTCGATTAACTTTTTGAGAAAGTTATTTTGCATGTAATCAGTTATCAGCTAATTTATCAAACATTTTTCTACAATCAACTAGTCAAACATACTAACACAATCAGCTAACAACTATATACCAAATACCCCCAACATAATCAAACTGGAGGCTTCTGGTGTTGTTGGATACTATGGGGTATTTGTGTTTCCTTTATACTTGTACCACTTTGCACACGCAAGAAAATATATGAGATTGATCATTTCTAATGCTGCCACTACGTGATAAAAGTAATCTAATCTCCCCTGGTTCAAATCCTGAGCCAACCACCCTGTTGTCCTATGAACAACTGATGTTAAGAAGCTGCTAAGGTAGCTAGACCCTGCTAGCCCGACAAACAAGAATGAAGCGGCAATGCTCCTCATGTTTTCCGGGCATTGTCGGTAGAAAAACTCGTTTTCGCCTATCAGCGCAAAAGCCTCCGACAGCCCCGACAGGGCCATCTGAGGAATCAGCCACAGCGCAGACATGGAAGAAACCTCGTTCTCGGCGGCTAAGGTTCTTCTTCTGGTTTCAACTATGGCGGATGCCACCATGGTGATCACTGACAGGAATATCCCGATTCCCATTTTCTGGAGGAGGGTAATGCCGTCTTCTTTGTTGGTGTGTTTGCGGAGGATTGGGAGTATTAAGCGGTCGTAGATGGGTAGCCAGATGGTGATGCTTAGCATTGCGAATACTATGAAGGATGCCGGTGGGATTTGGAAGGTGGCGCCGCCGAGACGCCGGTCGCTCTGGATGGCTTGGAAGACTACAAAGTTTTGAGCTTGGACGACGGAGATGTAGTAGATGACTCCAGCTCCCCATATTGGGAGGATTTTTAGTAAGCATTTCACTTCTTCCACCTGCTGAACGCTGCAAAGCCTCCATGGATTTTCTGCAGCACCATCTTCCTTGATTGCGTCTTCTGCTGTTCTTATTATTGCCGCCTTGCTTAAACATCTGAAATCACAACCCTCCTCACCATTAATTTCATTCGTTCTCAAGTGAATTGACACAGAAAATATAATAATGTAGTATTACCTGAATTGATTTGTGAAGGGAAGCCTAGAATTGAGAGAGTTGGAGGGAGCATGGTGGAAAAGTGAGAGTGAATGTTGAGGCAAATCCAGGCGCCTCTTCTTGAAAGCGGCCACTAAGACCTGAGCAACACTCTTGAAAGGGCTACCTTCGGGGACAACACCTCTGTACTTGATATCTTTCCTAGTGGCCACCTCTGATTGAGTCTCCCCCATGGCTAGTTGTCTTCTTGCCTCAGTTCACACACAAGAAATGGAAATTTGAAGGTGGTTATATAAGAAAGTAATAAAGATCGAATCTTTTAGGCCACTATGATTGTGGGTTGTTATCATTGCCAGTATAAATAAGGTAGACACAACTTTTGCAACATAGAGAGGTATGGAGAGTGACAGCAAGGATCGATACTGATTTGCAGTATAGTGGAGGTGAAGGATGTATATATGTTTCTGAAGAAGAACAACTTCTTTAATTTATTCTGCAGTATTTTATTTGATGGTTCTGAATGCACCAAAAAGATTACAACATTTATATTATTGATGGTTCTTTATTCTTGTTTGGTTTTGGTCTTACATAGATCCTGATAGAGAGGTCCTGTCACGAAGTACTGTCCAGGATAAGGTAATTAAGATTCGTTGAATAATTGTTTATAGAATCTCATCGCGTGCAGGTGGGGTTACGTCGCTGTCTTCTTTGTCTTTTTTTTTTTGAAAAAAAAAAAAAATGAAAGTACGTCTAGTTTAACATTCCCAGAACTGCAACGACCAAGAAATTGAAACTCCTGCAAATTAGAGGATGGATTGGGCTGAGGCAGATCCATATTGAAGATTCCGGTGTTGTTGTCCGACTGGATTACCTCAAGAATCCCGAAAGTGTTCTGTTGCTCCGTTGCCATGAAACAGGAGAGCCCTGCCGGCAGTCAAATGGGAAAAATTCCGGCGACGCATTTTAGGCGTTGGACTTGTAGGACGGTGGACAGTCTTCTGGGTATGGATTAGATTGATGGGTTATGCGTGAAAGGTTGCTGTGTGTGGGCCAAGAATCGGCCCATTAGGTCGAATGGGTTAAAATGGAAGAAACCTCTTTAGGTGAGCCCATTTCCTTTAGCACAATAATGATTGTATATCGTGGATCAGGATCCACCATAACTCCATGTGCATTGTAAACCCCGAGGAAAATAACAAGTAGTCATGCAATGTTATTACCTATGGCAAATTATTGTGTGGAACGTTAGACCACGGATTAAAACGATATCGTTTTAATGTTAAAAGAATATTTTGTGTATTATAATAATGAACATTCTGATGTAAGATAATATATTTTATGAGTTAGAATAATGTACTTTATATGTTAGAATAATGTATTTTATGATTTAGAATAATGTATAATGCACTTTATATATTAGAATAATAAAATTTCTGAAGTAAAATAATATATTTTATAAGTTAGAATAATATGTTTAATGTGTTTTTAGATTGTGGTACACACAACGATCACAGTCCTTACAATAATGATTGATTAGCTCGCATGAGTAATTGGTCATAGATGTGAAGTTTGGAAAGAATAACTAGGGATCGACTCTCACCAACAGCGACAGTGTCAGAGCTCAATAGTTATGCTGTGCAACCGAATGTACCATGCGCGCATGGTGCATAAGATACATCACACTTTAAAAAAAAAAATTCAGGTCCGATTCTCGGCAATAGCATTATTGTGGATATATAGTTATGAATTTATGGATATTTAGTTCATTCATTATAGATATTTACTTCATTCATTCATTGTGGATATATAGTTATGAATTTATGGATATTTAGTTCATTCATTGTGGATATTTAGTTTAATCATTGTGGATATTTAGTTCATTCATTGTGAATTTTTACTTCATTTATTCATTGTGGATTTTTACTTCATTCATTCACTGTTGATATATAGTTATGAATTTGTGGATATATAGTTATGAATTTCTGGATATATAAAAATACTATTGTCGGGAATCGAACCTGATTTCTTCTTTAAGTGGGACGCGTGTTTTTTAAACCAAAACGACGCCGTTTTACAATCGTATGCACCTTGCAAGGTGCATTCAGTTGCACAGTATAATTTGCGGGAAAGAGTAATGATTGATTAACTATAGTCTTGGCCGTTAAGATAATTACAAAAATAGAATTCCTAATATTCAAATATGACAACCTGTTCCAGCCACTCGAATACCTGTTTTAGAGCTAATTTTTCAAGAATTTGTTTCTTACAAACATATAATTTTGACACGCTAAAATTTACTTAAAATCTTGCATTTTTTATTTAATAATTAATATTATACAAAATAGAAATTACTTTGCTTAATTTATTGGTCCATCCACCTAAAATATCTTCGTTGACAAAATGCACAACTATACCTTAACAAATTCGAATATTAAATATTTAGTAAAATATTGTGTGAGACCGTATCACGAATCCTTATTTGTGAGATGGGCGGGTCCATATGAAATTACAATACTAATCAGGAATAAAGTGTTTGCTACTCATAAGAGAAAATATAATAATTTTAAAGAAAAATGTAATACTTTTATATTCTGATTTAAAAATATTATTCCGTACATTTTTTTCTAAAAGTATTATACTTTTTCAAGTAATAAACACTTTACTCCTTATTAAATTAATATTATATTTTTCAATTTAAATAGTACTTTTCTATTTTGATTCGATTCATTTCACTTATAAAAATTCGTGAGATGGCCTCACATAATAGTCAATTTAATATTTAAATGGATAGGATTATGACCAAGCAATAGATAACGTAACGCACGCACTATGGAATTTTTGTTCATCAGCTCTTGACTTCTTGTTCATATTAGCTAGATAGACATGACACACCCTCATTTCTTCAACCACAACAGGATTTTATATTAACTCCAAAGTTTTCAGTCAACTGATTAAAATGTTTGTGTTCATATGCAATTATGCACGATAACGATATACATTGATTTGTGATATTTTATGTAATTATAAAGTCTTTATTTAACTATGTGTAATGTGTTACTGGGGTATAGATTATTTCAAATATATATTTTATTCGACTAGGTCCAATGAAATCATATTACTTGCCATCCAAGAAGAGCTCATTTACTTGTATATAAGGCGCAAGTGGACCTACTTTATTTGTAGTGTAAGTTAAGTCCTCCAAATTGCGAAGTGAGTAATGAAGCAGACCGATTGGGTGGCGCTCCGCTGGGCGACCTCATGGGTAATTCTGGAGCGTTATTAGTTATTACCATCATTAAGATTAATCTTCACAACGAGCGACGCAATCGGTCACTTGCGGCTGGTTCTCAACGGACTGACTGGGTAGTTTCACGGGTAGTCCATATGCGTATTTACCCATCACATATGAATTGAAAGTGCTTATAGATTGAAGACTCACTCTAACTCATTGACATGAAAACAACAACGTACATAAATTCGTAATATTTATTTCAACTAGTAATATTTAGTAAACTTATAAATCAAAACAATTTTGAATTTTTAGCTACATGACAGAAAAAAAAGTCTGTCAAACTCAATGTTTTTTTGTACTCAATGTTTAATTCATTATTTAATACAAATATATATAAATAAATAATGATTAAGGTGTCCCTCAATAATTGAAAATTTAAAATGCATTATTAATATTAACATAATTGTTAGTGGTGGACTAAAATTGCCACTTTACATATAATTAAAGGGAAAAATGTGTGTGTGATAATAAATCATGGACCAAATCTACAATATATGTATAATTGATGGACTAAAACCATTATTTTCTCAATAATTATAATCAGCTATAAATTTAATTTATACAAAACAAACAAATCTATGTAAAAAGCTATGATCGTTTGAGGCTAAACCAATTCTCATGTAACATGATGTTGAAAACAAGATAGCATGAAACAAAGTCTCATTATATATATACACTTACTTTTAATTGTTAAGCTAACCACAAATTTGAAAATTTCAATGTAATTTCTTGTTAAGCCGGCTTCAATTTTGCATATTATTTTAATACTAAATAATATTGAATGTTTCTATCCTAAGGGTATAAAAAAAATCCCATGATCAGCCTTTTTTTTTTCTTTTTTTTTTTTTTTCCTGTTTTACGGTTCGGGCACAGGAGCTGGCCTAGGAAAATCATCACTTGTGAAAATCGAACTCGAGTTATCCTGAAATTCTTTCCAACAAAAAAAATTCAATAACCACTTGAGCTACCCCATTAAGTTACTAATATTAGGTACTTGAAATTGTACTAACCCGGTATTTACAAATAGTAATTTTATATTTAAAGATGCAATATAATTTTAAATTTCTTTAATAATTTTGCGTTCTCAAATTTACTATAAATTAAGTTATTGCGTTTAGTTCAAAAATTTGTAAAGATAATATTAAAAATTAAAATAATGACATAAAAAAGGATGATGTGAAATATTTTTACATGAACATAAAATTAATAAGAACCACACTTGTTTTTTAGTTAACTATTAGGAGGTGTTTGGTTGGATGGAAAATGTCTTTCAAAGAAAATGTTTTTCTTGAATTTGATGAAAATTAGATTTTCTTTTTTGTTTAGTTGGATGACAAATATTTTTTAATGGAAAACACTTTTCTTGGTCCTCCTTGGTATTTTATTTTTCATGAAAAATATTTTTCTGTGGAAAATAAGAAGGACAATTATGGCCTCATTAACTTTTTTTTTAATTACCATTATTATTATTGTTGTTGTTATTATTGTGTAGGATTATAATTATCTTCATACTCATTATTCCTTAGAATTCTAAATCCAACCAAACAATATGATTTATATTTTTAATAGTTTTTTTTTTCCACCAACCAAACAATAGACTCCATTTTTCGAAAATTTATTTTTCATACAAAATTCTATTTCCTTCCAAATACTTTCCAGCGAACCAAACATGTTATACTGTTTTCCCAAATTTAGGCATTGTTTGCGTAGGGGACCAGTCCTTTGTCCCATCACACTTATACCATGCTTTAAAAAATTTCATAACTTTTGGACTCTTTACTTAAAAAAAAAAAAAAAACTACAAAATTTAATTAAAATATTTATTTCAACAAATATAAAAATCATTTAAAAATTAAAAATAATTTTAATTTATCTTATAAAATATCTCAAAATATCACTAGAAATATACAATTAGCTTTCATTACGGACAATGACATTGTAGAAAAGAGGGAGCCATCATTCGGCCACTGTCTTGCCTTCTTTGGGTATTTATAAATCATAGATCCTGAAAGAATTACTTGAATACCTATCTAATATTTAAATGGATAGGATTATGACCATGAAATAGATAACGCACGCAACCACTCACTATGGAATTTTTGTTCATCAGCCCTATGTTGTTTATTATAATTCTATGTATTTGAGTTAGATTATGATTCTCTATCTCAATTTCTCTGAGACCTCCTCATCATATATACTTGTAATCTGTATAATTTTAAAATACAATTATACAGATT